TCATTGTTGTTTGGCGGGTCCGGGCTGGGGATTCGAACCCGCCACCTTAGGTGTACGTGGCTGGCGCCTTAGCCGGTTGAGCCACAGGCGCCGAGCCCAGCTATTTTTAAAGACGAGGTCTTGCTCTGGTTCAGGCTGGTCTCAAACCTGTGAGCTCAGGCAATCCACCTACCTCGGCCTCCCAGAGTGCTAGGATTACATGTGCTCCTGATCAAGGGGATCAGGAGCCCTGCACAGGCCCAGGGACCCAGTTGGCTGCCCACAGGCAGGTGGAGTGGGCTCAGAAGCTCCCAATTCCCCCTCCCCCACTGCCCAATGTGGTGGGAGGGAAAGTCTCCTAGGAGAGAGAGAAGGGGCAGCTTTCACAGAGCAGGTGGCTTTAGGAGGGCCATTTGATCTACATGTTTACGAGGGGAGCATTAGACCTCCCCAGATGAGCTTCTCTGGGCTGAGACCTGGCCACTTTCTTGAGGGGTAGTTTCCGGATAGTTTGGGCTGAAAACATGGGTGCATATTATGCACATACACCAGAGTACATTTTGTGTGGCAAAATATGGTATAAGGGATACTCATCTATAGTTTTCCTTTTTAATGATAAATCTTTATCTGCCTTTGGTATCAGGGCAATGTTCACTTCACAGAATGAATTAGAAAGTTTTCCTCTTATGACTCAAGGAAAAAAATTTTCTTCCTCTTCAATTTTTTTAAAGAGTTTGAGCAAGATTGGGGTTAATTCTTCTTTAAATGATTAGTAGAGGCTTGGCGCCTGTGGCTCAAGTGGCTAAGGCACCAGCCACATACACCTAAGGTGGTGAGTTCGAATCCAGTCCAGGCCCTCCAAATAACAATGACGGCTGCAACCAAAAAATAGCCAGGCGTTGTGGCGGGCGCCTGTGGTCCCAGCTACTTGGGAAACTGAGGCAGGAGACTCACTTGAGCCCAGGAGTTGGAGGTTGCTGTGAGCAGTGAAGCCAGGGCACTCTATCCAGGGGGACAGCTTGAGGCTCTGTCTCAAAAATAAATAAATAAATAAATATTTAGTAGAGTTGACTGATGAATACATCAGGTCCAGGACTTTTCTTTAAGGCTTCTGGAGTATCTTGTTAGGGCCCAGAGTGAGGTATAGTTTCTTACCCCAACTGAAATTCAATGTGTGTTGTAGAAGATTGAAAATTTCTAGGTTTTACTATGTGGTCAAGGGGCTCAAGTGACCGAGGAAGGAATGTTCCCTACCACCAAGAGTGCTGGTTGCCTAAGATCCAGAATGGCCAACCCTTTTTTTATACAAATGATTGTCATAGTACTGTCATTACAGAATTACTCACATTCACACACATACATCTACTATAAAATCATTCAGAGGCTTATCAAAATAAAAACCCAATAAAGACCCCATCCCCTCAGGACCAAGCCAAACCATTCTTTCCCTGAGCTCCTGTCAGTTCTTGCCTTTTTTTTTTTTTTTTTGCAGTTTTTGGCCAGGATTGGGTTTGAACCCGCCACCTCCTGCATAGGGGGCTGGCACCCTCCTCTTGAGCCACAGGCACCGCCCTTGCCTTTTGTGTTTTTTTGGAGACAAGTTCTTGCTCTGTTGTTTGGCTGGAATGTAGTGGTGTGATCACAGCCCACTGCAGTCTCAAACTCCTGGGCTTAAGTAGACTTTCTGCCTCAGCCTCCTGAGTAACTAGGTCTACAGAAGTGTGCCACTACACTTGGCTAACATTTCAAATTTTCTTCATAGAGACAGGGTCTCAAAGTCCTGGCCTCAGCCTTCTGAAGTGCTGGGATTACAGGAGTAAGCCATTGCACCTAAGCACTATCTTGCCTTTTATATGCTGTCTGTGTGCATGTATGTGTGTGTGTATGTTGGGGGGGCACTGAGGGTGGTTACACAGCATTAAATTGGGACCAGATATTTCCTCTAAGAAGGGTAAAGTTCAAGTCACAGGTAGAGTTTCAGAGTCACTCTCAGGGTTTTCCCATTGAAATGTCCCTTGCCTCAGACAGACCCTGGCTTCTAGGGTCTCATAATCCCATCCCCAGAAGGTGCTCAGTAAGGATATGACAATTTCTCAGGTCTTGGGTTGACGCAGAGGCCAGAAGGAGCAGTCAGGCCCAGCGGACCAGGATCCCAAAACTTCAGGCCTCTGGAAGAGACAGGACAAAAATTTAGCCCCAAGTAAAGAGAGGGACTACCTTAGCCGCAAAGCAGGAGAGCACTGGGTAGAGGGTGTAAGGTTGGGGTCTCCCTGCCCAAGTCAGAGGGTTAATAGATACTCTCTGAGCAAGAACCCCTGGTTTGTGCACTAGAAGAAGCAGGCTTCTGCAAAAGTGCTTTAGGTAAAAGGATGAGGAACCTTTTTTCAATGTCTGATCCAGAAAAAAGGTAGGAAGTTCACCATATACCCTTGTAAAGAGGGTGGCGCCTGTGGCTCAATGGGTAGGGTGCCAGCCCCATATACCAAGAGGTGGTGTGTTCGAACACAGCCACAGCCAAACTGCAACAAAAAAATAGCTAGGCATTGTGGCGGACACCTATAGTCCCAGCTACTTGGGAGGCTGAGGTAAGAGACTCGCCTAAGCCAAGGAGTTTGAGGTTGCTGTGAGCTGTGATGCCACAGCACTCTACCAAGAGCAGTAAAGTGAGACTCTGTCTCTTAAAAAATAAATAAATAAATAAAAGCTTAGTAAAGTTAGAGTTAGCTTCCGTGTCAAGCCCAGCCCAGCAGTGCTGTCTTCATGGCACTGGGATGCTGACTCACAGGAGGGCATGACTATCATGGGCCTAATCCTGGAGAAGACATGGACTCCATGCTCTGAAGAAAGTCAACCCCAAGTCCAGGCAGATGGGCATTTCTGCAGGTACAGGCTCCTTCCTACCCAGATCCAAGGAAAGGGGCAAGTGCCCCATCATGTAGCCATCACTTAGGCCTTGAGGGCCAGAGTTGCCTCAGCAGGTACAAGCATGTCAGAGATCAGGACAGACATTCCTAGAAAACCGTGAGATTCAAAGACTGGCAACTGTGTTCATGACTCCCAGAGAGCCTGTGTTCCTAGCCAGGCCCTGCCGGCATAGACTAAGGACACCAGGTACCTCTGGCTGTCCTCTCCACTGCTCAGGCTCTGTCTTTAGAGAGTCTTTTCTAGTCAGCTGGAAAGTTCCCCTCCATCCCCTTTTAGGAGGAAAATTTCTCTAACTCAAAGAGAAAATTTAGGTGAGAAAAATCTTAGTTTCCATGCTAGCACTTCTTCTGAAGAGGATGATGTCTGTTTCCCATAAGCACAGATATTTTTCCTTCTCAATTGATGTGTTTCTTCTGATAGGTGAGTGGCGTCTTCTGTCTTTTGGGTATGTTTGCATATTCCAGGAGTCTTAGAGCAAGGAGGGAGTCAACTTCAGCTCATATTGAGGGCCTGGAGGGAGGTTGACAATGGCGCTGCTCACCTGCCCTCATCCCAGGTTCATTGCTCCTGCTCAGATGCCGTATTTTTAAAATACTTTATTTTTTACATAATACTGTCATTACAAAAAAATACAAAAAAACTACTATAAAAACATTCAGGGGCTTGTCAAAGTGAGAAAACCTAAAGCCCCCACCCCAGGACTGGCTGAAGCAGTCTTCCCCCAGCTCCTTCACTATTTGACCTTTGTACAACTGTAGGAGTGGGGTGGGGTCACACAGGCAAAAAAGGGCTGGAAATTCCCCACATAGCCTCCAAGAAGGGTAAGAAATAAGTAGCTTCACATATCACAAAAGTAGGATTTGGAAGTTTGGGGGTGGCTAGACCCTGAGTTCAGAGGTATGGGGAGAAACCTGTGACCCTGAGTCTCTTGGTGGAAAATAGCTGCCACCTGACCCCAAAGCTCCTTCACTTCCTGAGGAAGGCTTGGAGATGGGCGACATCTTAGCCTTAATACCTCAGGTTCCCCTTCCCTTCCCCCTGCCCTTGAATACTGAGAGGGAGGATAAAACCTCTGGCTCTGGGGTATAGACAAGGCAGCTAACAGGGAGGCTGCTGAGGGTTGGTTCACTGCTCTGCCCCAGATGAAAAGTGTCTCGTGCTCAATGTCCCTGTTCACAGGTTGTGGGCTTCTCTTCCTATCTCCTCTCCTCTCCTCTCTCCTGGAGAGGCACAGACAGCTCTAGGTGAGTGCTTTGTGTGTGTGAATATGTGTGCAATAACCTTGGACACTGTGGACCTGGGGTGGGGGTGGGAAAGCAATGTCCTTTCTGTCCTCTTCCTCCCCCAACAGGAGGAAACCAAAGGAAAGGGAGAGGAAAGATATTAGCAAAGCTCAGAGGGGAAGGAAGATATGCTATTTACAGGCGTGGATAAGGAATCTCTATATCTTCAAGTAGCACTCAGGTCACTCTCTAGCCACTGGGTGGGAACTGGATTCAAAGCTAGTGACATGAAAACTGACCCCTGCCCTGGGCTAGCTCTCCCCACCTCCCTCCCACTCCCCTAGGCAGCCCAGCTCTGAAAGGGGTCAGGGACGGGAATATTTTCCTGAAAACCAGTGGCTTTTTTTTTTTTTTTTTTTTTTTTTTT